AATGGAGGGATTCTCTCTTCCTCTGGGGATATTTCAGAGCTGAAAGAGAGCCCTCATCACCCGGCTACTGGGGGCACAGTGAGAAAATGAAGACCTCTGCGAACCTCTAAATCCCCAGGAATTTCTCATTAACCATAGGTCCCGATCTGCCGAGAGCCCTCTGGGCCCTCACCCCCCCCCCCCCCCCCGAGGGGTCTCCCTCTCTGGCAGGGAGAATGGAGCCCTCCACTCCACTTTGTGCTGGCTGCCGGCTACCAGAGCCTGTTATTCACCTTTCCTTTCTCACCAGCACAAGAACTTTCTCCCAATCATGCTTTCAAAGCCCTCAGGACTTCCTCTTCTTTTCACTCAGTTTATACATAAGTGTGTGAGTGTGTGTGTGTGTGTGTTTGAGAGAGAGGGAGAGAGAGAGGTGAGAAAGAGTGGGATAGAGTGTGTGTGTGTGTATTCGTGCATGCGTGCGTGCGTGTGTGTGCGTGTGTGTGGTGTCCGAAAGAGACAGGAAGGCATAATTGAATTTGACATTTTTAATGGTCTCCTGAGATATTTTTGTCTGAAGGCACAAAAGCAGGGATGAAGCTGACTGTCATTTCAAAGACTTTTTTTCACACTCTCATGAGTATAAGCAAGATTAATGAGGATTATGTATATGAGGAGAGGTAATGAGTTTTGATTAAAGTAGAGGGGATATTTAGTGTAAGATTTCAAAACATCTCTGTGAGGCTAGACTTAGCGGCATTAGCTCATGACCTTTCGTGTTTTTTCTGAGCTACCTTACAATGTTATGAGATTAGACGGACACAGGATTTTTAAAAACGGATTGGAGTGACAGAGATGTAATTTCAGGATGATGAAAAGCACAAATAAATTTGAGAAACAAGCCATCTCTGTGTTTTTACACAAGATTTGTTACCTTCCCAAGTGACTTCAACTCTAAGCAGTTTGTAGTTTGTCAAGACAAATTACTTTCACTTGCTTATTACTTCTTCCAAAATGTTTATTATTGCTTTTGTTATATCTTGGGCCAAACCAAACGCAGGATTAGTCAAATTTACAAAAAAAACACAAATTTAAGGAATGTGTGTAGAAAATAAAACAAAAATATTGCAGGAATAGACAAAAAAGCAATGTGTAATGTTGTAATCAATGCTGGTCTGTAGTACCAAAACTACATATGTTAAATCAACATCCTACAAAAATAGCTTCAAATACTTTATATGTTAGAATGACATCACATTCTTTATAATTTTAGAGGTAATGTGGAATATTTATTTTTTATTATCACTATCACAAATTATTAGTATTTTTTTAAAAGCACTTTGCATTAATTTAGTGTGGCACAGGCAAGTCATATTCATTCACCTGTCCTCATCCATGTGAATGTTTATGGATGAGGACAGGTTTGTATCCACAGTTCATTTGACTGGATGAATATCATCTAAAAAGGCTTCAAAAGTAGAAGCCACAAGGTATTTCAACAGCTGCTGCTGAGATAATTTTAGTCAGTTTGGAAGGTTTGTAAGCTTAATTGGATATCCAACGAATTACAATCAGTATTATTGGTATTGTGTTAATATTTTGTTGTGAGTATACATCTTTTTAAAATCTATCTATTTGATGTCTTTAAACTGAAACAAAACCCTTCTTTAATTTTTTTTTTTTTTTTTTATACATTTAATTTCACAACTTTTAGTTTATTTGTAAATCTCTGGGATCCTTTACTTCATAATTTGATTATAAACTTTGCCAGTTTTATTCATCTTTAGACTTATTCATCAATTTTAATTAAAAAGGAATTTTTATTTTCTCCCTCTGCTAACATAGTTAGTTGCATAACATAGTTTGAGTCACAAATCTGCTAGTTTCTGCATATCAAATGACAAAATATGACTGAATTAGAAATTTGTTATAGTTCTGTTGGAGGTCAATGATAATCTGGTCACCACTGTTTGTCGATAAGGTGTGTTTGTAAGTCTCTGAAGAAGAGTTTAAATTAATTTCTGCAAACAGAAGAGAAGCTCCAACTGATTTTCTACTTCCCAATTGGCCTCTAAACATGCTAAATCTGATATCAGCAAGTGGAAGTGTAGAGGGATGTTAGATTGCTGATATGTGCCTGTGTGGTGTGAAAGATGAATCAGACTCCATAGCTATTGGTCAGCAGTGACTAAGCCCCAGCTGCTGATGCTTACGGCTGTTTGGATCCCCAAAGTAATGTGTTTCCTTTGGTGCTGTGTCCTTATTTGAGCCCACTGCTTTCTGTCTTCAAGAAGAAATTATAATATCTCTCGTCTACAGAGTTTACTGATGTCCATGTGCTATTTAGTTGTATTTTTTTCTAGTAAAACTGTGGTCAAAGGTTTGAACTAAACTAAAACTACTATGCATTACTGACTATGAGTGAATACAAGTAAACTTTACATCGCTAAAGGGCTCCTAAAACTACATGGCGGTAAAATGCTTTATATAAATCTCCCATGATGACAGAAATGATCAAAACTGAACCAAATTTCTCATCAGTGCAGGTTGATACTTGTACAAATTAAGAGTGAGTTTGAGTAAAGCTCCCTGACATGGTCTGAAAAGGAGAGAAAGCTGTCCTGTGCAGGCCAAGACAGCTGACAGCTGGGTTCAGTGGAGGTCAGAGGTCGTGGATTGGCAGCAGTGGGGGAGTGAAGTGGAATCTAAAACAACAGGAAGAAACACACATGCACACAGATACACACTTCCGGGCAGAAGAGACAGACATGGGCCTCCGGATCTCTTTCTCATTCCCCTGTGATAGTTTACTGAAAATTCATGTGTGACCCAGCAGATTCCCTGGGTGTGTCCAACAGAAATGTGCTTATATAGACACACAGTGTGACTAAAGAAACACAACTACAGCAGTTTGACATTGTCCTACAGCAGACAACGTTTTCCAGTAAAGAGGCATTATTTGTCCAAGTGCAGGCTTTGCTTTAGTTTTAAGTTGTCTCAAAATTTGACATCTTTATTCAGAACTTTAGTCATTCTTTTTTTTTTTTTTGTCTGTCTGCAGGGATTCCTTCGAAGACATAAAAATTCTTGGGCCATTCCATCTTAGTTGTGAGCAACATATTGGAGCAGTAAATTAATCTGGAAGAGTGTTGTGCTGGCAGAATAGTGTTAATCATATGAAGTCATAAGACTAGCTTGTTATTTTTTATAACTTTTTCGTTGTGAGCTGCCAGGTTAAAGTTTCATTGTCAGGGCATTTACACGTCATGGCACAGCATTCAGCCCACAAGCCCTTCAGTTGATTTGAGAGATAGGTTTGGCCGTTAAAAATCTATCTAAGGCACTCAGCTATGGAGTAACAAGGTGCTTGCTTCATTAATGACTGTTACTGCCAATGTTAACAGACCTAAGTTCACAAGCTGCCATTTTTTAGTTTGTGTTTAGTGTGTGATAAACACGGAGGCCATACAATGAGGTTGCTGCAACAATCAGGGAAGCCAACCACTATAAAAATGTTTTTTTTTTATTTAAATTGAAAACATGATTGAATATAATACCATCCTTAGATAAGGATATATTTTATGTCATGTCTGCTTATGTCATAATTACCTTAGACAAGTGTTGACATCCAATTAGAAGTGTAATCGTTTTACCAAAGATTTAGAACTACTGGGGAAAATATTACGAAATATGATACATAAAACAAATAGAAGTAAAAAACAAACACAACCAAAGTGGCCTTGAATTGATTAAGGCTGCCATGCCACAGATTATATTTAGTTTTTCTGACAATATGTAAACCCAGAGGAGGCTCTAAAGATAAGATGCTACGTTTTCTAAGTCATGAAAGTAATTTTACAGTTTTAGTTAGGTATAGATCACATTTAACTGAGTAAAATGAAAGCAATTCTTGAGTAGTTAGAATCAGAACTCTCAAGGAGTCACCAGCAAAACACAAGTATCAGAAATTCAAATATTTGTGTCATACTAGTGACACCTTGTGGAGATCCTGAGTTCTCACACCATGATATTTAAATGTGGAGCGTCCTGTATTCTGAGTAGACAGGTGCAGATGATCAAACTTTATTGGGTAAACCTGAACACTTTTGTAAAACCTATCCATTTCGTAAATTTGCTAATTAAACCGAGGATTTCATTGGTTGTGAAAGGCACAAAAAATGAAATGCTGACATATTTTAAAACACTATTGAGGTGCATTGTTTTGTTAAACAATCATAATTTTCAAAATGAAAATGTATGCATGGAAAAAAAAAATTATTTAGTTCATACGAAAATAACTTGAGACGGAGAGCGCTGAAAATTAAAATAATTTCGATAGCGACACTAGCAAGACAACTTTCAAACTGTGACATCCCTAATTTAATGAGATCTCTCAGTTTTTAGTGAGATGTGTTTAGTTGTTACATCTGTGTAGCAATGTTTTGCACCTACAAGAGATACCCAAGCCTAGTTTAACTCAAACCTGAAGAAAGAATGTATTTTGTTTTCCGAATGAAAGCAACAACACAACTTGCCATAAACCAAATTCAAACCAGGGTTGCTGCAACCACATTGCAGAGTACCAACTACTAAATGACCACAGTCATGAACTGACCTGCTAGTTCATGGCGATGCTTGTTGAAAACACCTTCAGATGTCAACAACACTAGATTGAACTCTCCCATAACTCTACTGGCAGAGGAGGCATAGCAGGGTCACCCTCATATTATAATAGTATTCCAGTATAAAATGTGTCAGAACTAATTAAAAAAATCAAATCTAGCTTACCTGAGCAAAGACCTCTACCCTCACCTTGAATGCTGCAATTCAAACTATATATATATACATTTAACATTTTTATGTATTTATAGTATTAATGTTCCTGTTATCATACTTTCTTTTATACATATGAAAGCATGATAGATGCTAAAAATAGAAATAATAACTATAAAAAATAGGAATAGAAAACAGACACCTGTACAGCTGTGGATGGTGTATAATGTTATGCAAGAAAAAAGTCCCGCCACTGTACTTTGCCCACAGTGACGTCTTGATTCTGACTTTTCATTCCATGAAGGAGAACCCGAACGCAGCTTCTTCTTCTATTCAGCAGCAGAAATGAAATTAAACGGTCAGATTGCTGTTGTGACAGGCGCCGCTCAGGGGATAGGAAAAGGAATAACGGACAGACTGTTGCCAAATGGTGCAAAGGTAAGACTCTCAGTCAATTATTGTACATTTGCATTTTAACTCCGAAATAAAAGGCTGCAGAGATTAACAAGGAAAAAGAAATACCATTATATAATACAGAGTGATCAATAATGCATTTCTTCTTGGTTTTGCAGAAGGTCCTTTGAATAGTAGAAACAGTAAAACTGTACTCTCACACCCTGCATGCATTTAGACCTTTAACATGTCAGTAAAAGCAAGCTCATCTGATGGTTCGTCACGTCTGCAGGTCGTCTTACTGGATGTGAACAAAACTGCAGGGGAGTCCTTGAAGAAAGTCTTCGACCACCAGTATGGACAGGACAGATCTGTGTTCATACAGTGTAACGTTGAGTCAGAGGAGCAAATCAAAGGTTACAACAAAGCTGAGTAAACTTGCAAAACCACTTCTTATTAAAGATCACATTACAATCAGAGTCTCTATACATTGCTGGTAACACCATTCCTACGGTAGTTCGAACTAAGATGAAGATAAGTCTTTAAAGTGTGGTTTGGGTATCTACTGTAATGCTGCGTATGTGTTCTAAAATAGGATGTAAATAATCATCCTATGATGGTTTGAGGGGTAAAACAAATATATGAAAAAAACATGCACAGGTCAAAGTTCTTCCTCAGTGAAGAGATGAATGGCGTAAAACTGTGTTGTTGTCTAGATACCTTTAAAAGCATTACAGCAACCTTCGGGGGGATCAACATTATATGCAACAGTGCCGGCGTCTTGGATGAGCATGAGTGGGAGAGAACGGTCTCTATTAACCTTGTAAGAATTAATAAATAAACCCCTTGCATAGGCTGACATCTTTTCAATTATAGATAAGTTCACATTTCATGTCATGTTTGTTATTTGATGCAGGTGGCCGTCATAAGGGTGACCTATGTGGCTCTGGAGCACATGAACAAATTGACCGGAGGTCGGGGAGGAGTTGTGGTCAACATAGCATCCATGGCAGGTGTGGACTGTATGACATCAACCATCAGTTTTAAGCTGTTGGTCTGAAACTGTGTGTTGGAGCAGCAGTTTGGCAAGATATCTCAAGATCTCCTTATTCCCAGCCACCTCTTCAAGGGAGGGTACCGAGGGCATCCCCAGAAACCTCCACAGTCTGCCCCAGGGCTTCCTCATAATGATGTCTAAAACAAAAAGATCAAACACCCCGTTATGAGATATCAAAGAGGCATACTGACAAGTTCGCCCGATTAACTTAAAATGCATATTTTGATACAGATAGGCACTGAAGCTCCACTGAGTCCCACCTGGATGGCATGGCTACTCACCTTATCCTTAAGGGTTACGGGTGGACATCCTTCAGAAGAAACTAGTTTTGTTTGTGAGGTCATTCTTTTTGGCCAACACCCACAGCTCATGACCATTGGTGAGAGCCAGAAAATAATAAATCACTAATGAATTGACAGTTCTGTTCATCACAACTAACCAGTGCAGCATCTGTGTTACTTCCACTAATCAATTCAATTAGATGTTTAAATATTAGTCAGTTCTTATAACTAATGTCACAGCATCAGTTGAAAAAGAAAAAGATCTGAAGAGAAGATGGCTTCCTCCATGACATTGATGACATTTAACTCACCTCAAAAGAAATCTATGACACAGAGTAAAGGCTTAGTTTCATAATAGCTTTCAGTTTCTTCACCAACACATCATCAAAAATCCAAGTATAGACCTCTAAAAGCCTATGGCGAATGAAACTTGAAAGACATTAATAAACCCCACATGAAATATACATTTGAAAAAGATGTGTCTTTAGTAATTTTATAGAAATTACTCCTCATATTTTTAACTTCCAATAAGTAAGGCTGGAAATTCTTTAGTCCCTGAGAATAGAAATTTTGACCCTGATCCTCCTAACCTCTGTCCCACAGGCCTTGGCCCACTATCAAGCTGTCCCGCCTACACAGCTACCAAGCATGGTGTGGTTGGCTTCACTCGAGCCATGGCAGTAAGAATAACGATAATCATCAAAAATTATTTTATAATTATGTTTGACAAGTTCTGACCATCTCATTTATGTGTTTCTTTTAAGGCTGCATCCTCAGCTTTGGGCTATGGGATACGTTTCAACGTGATTTGTCCAGGTCTGGTTCAAACCAACCTCTTCTCCACAATTTTGGAAAACTTGGGGCAGTTCTCCCAACTCGCTGGTGTGATAAAAAAAATATGCAGAAAAGGGAGTATTGGAGTAAGTCTTTTCATCTTAACACCAGATAAAATGTATTTTATCTGGACCTCTGTCGCTTTGGAGAAGCAGAAACAGCAAATTGTTTTTGTGTGACCATTTCGGTAAAATGCTCATCAACTTTTCTCGATCGTTTCAGCGTGGGTGACGTGGCTGAGGGCTTCCTCGAGCTGGTAACAGATGAGACGAAGAATGGAGAAGCCCTCATGGTTAACACTAATGAAACAAAATACATGGTCTTTCCAACATTCACCTAATATCTCCCGACAAAAAGATTGTGACATTATTAGACCCTGACATATAAACTGAAAGCACAAAGTGGAATAAATGTCATTGCTCATCACGAAAGTGTGTGTGTTTTATCAGTCTTTAATACGTTATCTGAATAAAAACATTTATTAGGGGGATTACTGGATCTTTACTTACTGGATCACCGTGGACGGTCTGCATATGGAAATGTTACATATTATATGGAAGAGGACATATAAAGAAATCAACAGTGCCATTATTGAATATTGTCATTATTTGAGAGCTTGTGTATGAGGCCTTAAACAAAATTAGCAAAAAAGGCTATTTTTTTCTGAATTCATTATTATTCATTATTATCCTTTTTTCAAACCCCTTTTTTCTCAGCAATCTAAGATTCATGGTCTGCAGCTGTAGCCTAACGGGTACAGCAGGCGGACCATATGCGGAGCCTCTGCTCGCAAGCGGGCGGCCTGGGTTCGATTCTGGCCCATGGCCCTTTCCCGCAGGTCTCCCCCTCTCTGTCTTTGCCCCCTTTCCTGTCAACCTACTGTCATTAAAGGCCACTAGAGCTAACAAAATAAAAAAATAAAAAAAAGATTCATAAAAATTCAACTTTAATAATTGACATTGATATACTGAGAGCTGGGATGAAGTTATAGACTCAAGAAATGTAAATAATTCACAAGAACTGGGGTCACGTTAACCGAATACTTTCCATCTTTAGCTGTTTTTTATTTTAATGGTGAGGGAAAAATCTGATGCCATTTGTCATTTTGACAGATGGCATCCATATCAACAACCACTTGGTGGCATGTGAGTATATTTACAAGCTATTAATGACGTCTGGCTTCCCAGAACAGTTCAAGTCCCTGCAGACCAGGAGGAAGGTGAGAGCCAATGCGTAGAGGCCACAGACGTTTATCAGACAAGAGTTCAAAATGTATGCATGTTTTGAGTCCTGAAGTCATGTGACAAAGACAGAATTTAGAGCTCAGTGCAGTTTATCTCACTTGATACATGAATATACAATTTAAAAATGAAATCCCAACATGTCATAACAATACAACAAAGTTCATTGGCAAAGTTGATGTCAGAGGATCTGACCAATCAGGAATGATGCAAAAAAGGTCAGACTTATAACTTCTTGTAAAAAAAAAAAAAATAGAAAAGGAAAAATAATTCATCATTTAGGCTTATTAGAGCTTTTGTTATGGTTAACATTTTAAAAATAAGATACTTTATCTGGTTCAACACCAGCCAAACACACATCACAGAAAAAAGTGCAGAAAACAAGCAGGTTGATAAAACTGATGGCACTTTTGTTTGAATAATTCAAAATGTATAAACCTGAAATCCTGCAAATGTACCAGGTTTAGGCTTACACCTAATGGTTGCCATTAGCTACTACAGAACAGAGGGAAACTTTGCATAGGTTTTTCCTTTCGGGAACACCACGAGGGCCTCTCCATTCTTTGACTCATCTGTTGCCAGCTCCAGGAAACACTCAGTCACTTCAGACACACTGCATCATAACAGGTATGAATGAGAATGCATAGAATCAGTAATATTCAGTCATTATTGAGAGGCTCCAGGAGTCTCTACTTAAGATTGCACATCAAGAAACACGTGATTCTTCATTTAGTATAGCACAAAAAAAGATGCAGAGGTTGTGAAACTGTGTACAGCCTTTTAAACAAGCAATGACTCACCTTAAAATTCCTAGAGTATCCACCAATTTGTGCGCTGCATCAGCCAGGTGAGAGAATCGTCCCAGTTTCTCTGGGATGTTGGCTAAAAAGTCAGTTTGTACAAAACTTGGACAAATAACATTGAATCGTATACCGTAGCCTGAAGCCTCCGAGGCAGCCTGAAAGAAGACACACAGAATTGAACTTCTTAAGCAATTATATGTCCTTAAAGACTTCTTGGCTTATGAAAAACCAATCTGAGGAAAAAAATGCCCTAGTGGGTCAATCCTGCCGATGAGGATGATCACAAAGCAAAATGTAATAGCAAATGTTCACTGTAGTCTAGTGTATACAGCAATTGGCCATGGGGTCATTGTGTTAACATTTGATACTTTTTTTCTTACATAAAGATGTTTTAAAGTTTAAGAGATTTTATAGAAAAGGTTAGAATTTATTTAGTTAAATAAAACATAATTTCGACTCCTACATTCTATCTGTTTCTGTACCTGTTATTACCTTATTCCATGTCAGGGTCATGAGCCTATACCAGCTATCATTGGGTGAGAGGTGGGGTACACTTTTTAAAAATCTTAGTTTCCATTTTAGGGGAATTTGAATTATTTCTAGTTTTCTGCATCTTTACAAGCACAGATTTCTTACCCCCATCGCTCGAGTGAAGCCCACCACTCCATGCTTGGTAGCTGTGTAAACGGGACAGCTGGGGAAAGGGCCGATACCTGCAGACAGTCCATTTTATCCATAACGATTTATAACGTTTTCAACACTAACCGATTCCCACGTGGCTTCAGTAGACCGTTTTTTCTTTTTTTTTCTGCCTTATTCTGGTTCTGTTTCACTAAATGTATTGTAACTACAATAAAAACTATGCGTCCTGTCTTTTTTTTTAAGCATACCATTTAAAAGTACAGGTGCTAATACAATATTTCCAGTGATGAATGCACTACTGTTAAGGTTACAAAATTCTGAACAATTAAGAATGAATTATTATTGCACATTGCAGAACCATTACCTGCCATAGATGCCATATTGATGATAACTCCTCCCCGACCTCCAGTCAGCTTGTTCATATGCTCCATACCGACATAGGTTCCCCTTATGACACCCATCTAGAGCAGAACGTTATAATAATTCTGTCAGAAAGTAACAGCAAATATCCTCTGACCATGACTATGTAATTGCTGTTAGAAGTTAGAAATGTGTATAAAAAACACTATGTGTATAGAAACCAGAGCGCCAGCCCATCCCAATGCAAGTTGCGTGACTGTGCTTAAGAATTAATTTAATGTCAAAAAGAATCTGAAACCTTGAATATTATTAAATATATATACATATAGATATATAACCCTGTAGAATTTTGCTCTTTTAGCTTCTTACCAGGTTTGTCGAGACTGCCTTCTCCCACGTTTCCTCATTCAAAATTCCAGCATTGTTGCACACAATGTCTATTCCTCCAAAGGTCTCCACTGTTTTCTGAAAGGTATCTTGAGGGAACCAGAACCAATCAAGTTTTTGGTGTCACAACCAAATGTACAGCAGATATTGCAGTTAACACGATTGTGAATATTTTAGTGTGGCAAAGGGGAGTGGTTCATATGTAGGATTTAAGTGTTTTACAGCTTGACTTAGATCAACCATTTCAGTCTTTTAAATGAGTGCATATTCTTCTTCTTCACTTCCTGGTCCACATAAAAAATGTGACAAATCCGGCTTGGGCAGAAGTGACTATGCCAATTAGTGAGGATTGTGTTTGTCCCTGACATCTGGAGGATCATTTTAATGAGTATCACACAAATAACCAGAGCTCTGGAAGTTTTATTAAGAGAGCTGTTGTTGCTACACTAGAGAGTAAACTCATAACTCATTTTCATTTGTGTATACAAATATTTCTAAACAATTTTTAAGTGGAGAAAAAATATTCCGACCTTCCAACTTTTACAACAGTATAAGTAGTTGCGTGCTTCAAAATCAAAAGGTTGCGTGTCTCCACCTGTAATTACCAGATTATAAGGTAGTGTGAGCTGTGGTTTCTCTTTCTATCAACACCTGCTGCTTGAAAGGATAAAAACAATCATTATAGAAGTGAATAGTTTCACATTTCCAGCCGTGTTTATTTCAGTATGTGACATGCCAAATCTCAACTCTTGTTTTCCATTTAGTGTGAGTAAAGCAGGAAAAAGGGTACTTTCTGAAGTCTTTTTCAAAGGAATTGGTTCTTTAAAAAGAAAAAAAGAAAAACTTTTTGAGGTCAGGAAAAAAAAAACGACTGAGCTGCAGTGAGAATTCAAATGCCTTCACGCTGAGTTGTAATGTCGGTCCCCAGTTGGTAAACAACAAATGTTTAAAAGATGTTCTACATATAAAAGCTTTCAGATGTATTTTCCCATTTCATCAAGTAGAAAATTTTAAAAAATCTTCCTTTAAAACACAGCCTAGTCATTTAAAAAACTTTGTTCTGGTCAGATTAATATCCCTTTTTTTTCTCAAAACGTGCTCCAGTGAATCCTGTGCAAAACAAGATCCAACTATTTCTTTTAATGGCTGTTGTTTAGATTCAGAACTTTTATTTCAGAGGTGTGTGTGTTACCTTTAATCTCCTGCTCAGACTGAACATCACATTTCAGGAACAATGCTTTTCCTGTCCCGTGCTGCTGATTCAGGGTTTCAGTTAAATTTTTTCCAGCAATTTCATTTACATCCAAGAGGGCCACCTGTACACGTGAGAGACAGACCAGCTGAGATCCTGTATGGTCAAATGACAAGTTTGTTGTGCAGTTCTACTATAAAGTAGAGGGGAAACTATAGAAAGGAAACTTTGCAACTAAGGTGTTCTAAAATTGCACCAGGGTTGTACAATGGGGCACATTGGGTAAATTTCCCTTTTTCTTGAAAAAGAAGTCAAATGAAACCCTCTAATCATTATTCAAGACGTATGTTAACATTTGACATAATCAGAATTAACCAAATACTAAGGGTTAGAACAATATGATATGTTGAAAAATCCCCTTTTTAACAAAAAAAAGCTTTTGTAATTGAGTTCACCTTCGTGGTAAATTGAGCTAACCTTCCAATAGAATCTAAACCAAAATCATGTCAATCATTTTAAAAAAACACACCATGCTACTACTTTTTGTACCACATATAGTCTTTTTCATGAGGATAACTGACTAAAACACCTGATAGAAAAAAGGCCCCATGTTTAATAAACTTCCTATTAATCGTTATATACACTACATATGTTTCTAAACTTTAACATTAACATTACATGTGTGACACATGTGTGCATTTGTTGTCCTAACTCCAGGATGGCTTTACCCCACAGCATATGTTTCGCTTTACCCCACTGCTGACGTTTCAGAAAGGAATGTAGTTTCCTTTTCCATTCCAGCTAATATTCCCCCTCAAAGGATTTGCACGGTTGCATGGCACAACTGCCATCATTTATCATACCTATTTATATCTGGATTAAGTTGCACTGCTGTACGAGTTAGTTTAGTTTAGTTTCCATCAGTTTTTGTCAGCCCTTTGTTTAGATGAGCCGAGATGGAAATGTAAAAAAGTAGTACATACAACCTCTTAGCATAAAAAGTTGGATATGCCTTCTGAAGTAGGTAAGAGCAGATAAAACGTTTGCATAATCAACCCAAAAATCGGGATTTACACAACTCCAAATGGGGATCTAGACCTTAAAGATACATAGCAGTTCACCTCTGTGTTAACTAAAGCAGTGCCAGGAGTCCCAATGTCCCAAGTCCTGGGTGTCGATTTGATCCTTTGGTTTATTTGTTAGTAATCCTTTGTTTCAAACCCCCATGAACCCCAAAACTCAGACCAAGACTGAGGGGAGATCTGTACCTTGGCTCCGTGTTGCAGAAGGGTCTCCGTTACTGCCCTCCCTATGCCCATCACCGCTCCGGTCACCACTGCGATTTTGTTGTTCAAAGCCATGTCAGCTGTTCCCGGTGAGACGAAGCAGGCTCCCGTCAGAGGTGTGAAGCTCCTCGGGGGGTTGAAGGAAGGGAATATGTTGGCTCGAAAGAGGTTGGTGTGCGTATTATCGCCGCACCCATACGATTTGTGCGGGCTTAGACATGCTTGGGGGTGGGGATGGACAAAGATACTTTTTTTTTTCCTATTTCAGACTTTTTAGGTCACGGAAATTAAACCAGTCTTGCCCAGCACATAAGGGAATTTGATGTGTTTAATTTACCAAAGCGCACGCTTGTTGGTTTGAGCGTCAACGTTATAAAGATAATAGAGGTCAGAGTCCAGGATATGACCAACTCAACCTTCAGTTTCAGACAGTTTGCCGGTCAACAGTGTGTGTATACTGTTTATTACGGTCAGTTTCCGCTTTACTATTCATTAATCTGTTTGTATGTGCAATAAATCCAATATGTATGAATACACACGCATATATATAGGCTGTAGATGAAGAGAAAGAGAGAACATCATGTAATTTATCCAGATAAGTTAACACTAAGTGTAGTGGTATAAATAGCCTAAATAAAATAAAAAAGAGCATATGATATTTTTATATTATATAATTTAATTTCAAATAATCACAAATAATATTCCCATTTCAGGTGTCAAAAATTTTGTTTATGTTAAAAGAAAAATGGCCTTTGAATGATAAATTGGGACTAATTTTCACTTCCATAAAAAGTTTTTCTTAGTTTTTCACAAGCATTTCCCTTCATCTTTGAGGAAATCAAGACATGAATCAATAACCAATTTATTTATGAACGCACATGCTATTTAAAAGACAGGGAGGTGATCTTAATAGATGTAAGGAGGAACATTAAACCTATATATACACCAGAGGTGCCTATATGTAAGTTTGTTTGTAGATCTTCAGAGTTCAGCTTCGATTTGTTGTTAGCCACTAGTTTAGAACCCTTCTCTGTTTCCTGCACCACAGTCTTAGAAGAAAAGTTGAAATTCCTGTTAAGTGAATTCATTTAAACTGAATTGAAAGCATGTTCTCGGGTCACGTTTTGAGTTTCAGACACCTGTGTCTGACCTCTTCATGAATGAAAACCATTCAACTGATGACATTTTTAAACTATTTTGGCACACTTACCTCTGCATTGTCATCAGACTAGGATAGATAATAAAGACTGCAGCAGCTCTGCCACCTTCTGTTATCATTTATTTGCTGCATTCTCCTGTTCTGTTCATTTGGAGTCAGGTTTAGCATTAGAGACAGTCTTTACTTGAAATTGTTTGATTAAGCTCTAATATTTAGGTGCATTGAAGATGTGACACATTGAGATGTTTCTTCAATGATTACCCTGTAATACAAAACAAAACCTCTTTTGCAGTGCTTAAAGACAAAGCAGACTTTCCAATTAATGGATAAAGTACAAATGTCTTTAGAAACTCATTTCTTTTCAGATTGTTGCCATACAGTCTAACCCTCTGTTAACGACAACTTCATCTGAACATCTGAACTATCGTTCTGACAGCTCCTGAAATAGAATATTTGCCCACTAGATGGGGAGAGAGAGCTGTGTGACTTGAAAAATACAGATCATTTCTCTCTCTCTTCCTCTCTCTCTCTCTCTCTTTCTCTCTCTCTCTCTCTCTCTCTCTCTCTCTGTCTCTCTCTCGTACTCTTCCTTTCTTTCGAAGTAAAGAAGTACAAGCATCACAACTTGAGAAGGAACTTAACCTTGTAATGCCAAATGTATCATATTTGATACATACGGTTTCTGAAATATTTTGCGTCTGACACCTTTTGCATAATTTAATGGTAAAAACTTTGCTCAAAATCCTATTGTACACAATTAGATATACCTGATAACAGGGGGCAGAACACTAAACGAAAAATAATCTTGACTTATCACATAGTTATAAATTATTAATATAAAAACTGTATTTCTGTTTTTTCTTTTGACATATTTTGTTGAAAGGCAAAATAAAGACTTCAAACAAAAAAAAAAGTAATTTTCAGTTTTGTTTTATTCTTGGATCGGGCTTTAAAGGGTTAAAAGTTAAAAAGATTAAGATGACTGTATTTTTCTGATTCTGTTTCAAGTGGACTCAGCCAACCCTTTTTTTGTGACTTGAAGGAAAAAGAATTATATTTGAGAGACCTAACTCCAACATCCATCCATTATTGTAACCGCTTATTCCCTGATGGGGTCGCGGAGAGAACTGGAGCCTATCCCAGTGGTCAATGGGCGAGAGGCGGGGTACGGCCTGGATGAGCTGCCAGTCCATTGCAGGGCTACACAGAGACACACAAGGAGGAACAACCACGCACACTCACACTCGTTCCAAAGGGAAATTTTGGAATGTCCAATCAACCTAACATGCAGGTTTTTTTGGACGTCGGAGAACCCAGAGAGAACCCACGCGGACACAGGAAGAACATGCAAACTCCACACAGAAAGGTCCTGGGTCCCCTGGGTCTCAAACCCAGAATATTCTTGCTGTGAGGCGATGGTGCTAACCACCACACCACCACGCCCCTAACTCAAACGGTGTACAAAAAAAACTCTTCACGTTTTGACATGAGTTGAGGATACTAACCATACTCTTTTATGGACCAACTGATGCTCCACAATCAAGCCGTTGTTCGTACTGGAGTTCTGAACTTTGATTTGCTGCTTTCTGGACCTTTGAGAGGCCCATGGACGGTAGATTAAACCAATAATTGTACCATAGTGGTTATTTTGTTTATAAATCAATAAGCAATGAGCTCAGTGAAGTCACCATCAGCAAGACGGAATGACACATTTACAATACTTATGTATCCGCTGGTAAGACAAACAGGATAACCTGTGACATGTGTTTTTTATCTGTAACACAAATACAAATCTATAAGATCCAGGCCTTGAAAGCTTGTCACTTGAGCAAATCATTACTCAAACATTTTCCCCATTACTGTAGTGATACCATCTAACACTAAAGAGGTCTGAACAGTATGACTGTACACAATTAACCTACCTTTTAAATAATCTATTGAATATTGAATACAATTGTTGAGTCTAATCTAACGTGTCCAAAACCAGTAATCAATCTAACATGCTAACAGGTATTGTACTGCAAGTTTCTCAAGCTGGTTTGAAACATTTTAGTTTCTACTAGAAATAAAACCAAGTCAGACCTCTTGCACTGCTTTAGTCTTGATGGGATGAACATTTTGGGTAAATTTATTTTCTTATTTGGCTACATTCTAGTCAAAGAATGTGTTCTGTCAAATACTTTTGGGAACTGCATTCTTATGCTACAAAACAATGAAAACCTGTTATTTATTTGGCTCAGTGGTAAGTGATAGTGAATTAACTTTATTCTCCAAGTTCTAATAGTAAATATACAGGAAGTTAGTGGATCAGTTGTACTTGAGCATGACTCAAAGTCTAAGTATTAGCATTATCCTAGTCAAACTTGTCTGTTTGTAATTATGCAACAGGTTTACAGAAGCTTCTCAGTCTTTCATAATACATTTGTATTAGCTTATCCAAGTGGGTTATGAGTATGTATGAAACATATTGCATTTTTAAGAATCATAGTCGGCAAGACAGTGCAAGTTGCTACAAATGTTAAACTCACTTCGGGGTATGCTGTGCTGGAACCCATCCAGCGACTTCTGTCACAAACAAAAAAAAACTGATAAACCAGAGCCAGCAACTTCAGAGCTCAGACATGTATCCATTTTCTATACCCTCTTAATCGATATATAAAGTCATTGGTGGGGCCCTAGTCCGACTGCCATAGGTACACCCTGGATGGGTCACCAGTCTTTCACAGGGCCACAAAGAGAAAACAACCATGCGCACTCACACTCATTCCTAGAGTCAACCAGTTGAAACTCCACACAAAGAGGTACCAGCCACAATTCAAAGCAGGAATCTTCTTGCAGTGAGGCAATAGAGATGACCCCCTACTCAGCACAAGCATGTGTTTGAGCTGTATGAAGCAATCCCAACTATATATATTTTTTAATTCATTCTTAGTCCTGGAAAACATTGTTACTGCAACAGAATCTAGAATTAAATGATTAACCGATGAAGAAATCATCATCACAAACACACCCATGATTAGAACTGGTTAGCGTGTAATGAAAGTTTAAGAAACAGGATTATTTTTTATCCAAACTAACCCAGAGCTGTGAAATGGGAATTACTTAATCTAATTTTAATATATTGACTTTGGCTATATTATTCCAAAGACGATGAGTCGGTCTGTGAGAGACGTTAGATGTAAAGCATACTTTGAATTAAGTAAGTTTAGATAACTTGCCTCTGAGACAATCATTATGAATAATACAAATTAACTCTTGCTCTTCATCTTGATTGATGCAATACTGAGTCCCCAAAGAACACAATGGGTCTAATCCACTTAAATGATTATGAAAAATCTCTTCTTCAAACTCTGCCTCCACAAACTGGCTCCACAAAGCTCCCCCCTCAACCTCATCCTGCTTACACGGCAAATCCACCATTTAACGGCTTTCAGCTGTGATTTGCTGACCAGCTGCTGATCTGTGTTTTCATCCCCGTGGCCCATTGCCATTTCACTGGTGATTGCACTGCTAAAGAGCACCAGTATGCTGGACAATGCCAGAGAGCTTTACATTTCACCAGCGTCATCGGCCACGAAGAATAGACAGCCGCCACTGAACAACATTTGAGGTCGTTTACAGTGTGGGGCCTCTCTCCTGGCAGAGAGAGGGTGTGACTGCATCTACATTTCCTTACCTACAAGAGAGTTTCATCGTGAATACACAGGCTTTAGAGTATGTGTGCTTTGAGATTATGTGGTCATAGGGTGTGAGATGGGTTCTAGACCTTAATAGAAAGACAGCTAGAGTGCATTTGGTTATGGATGTGTGACACCAAGAGTAAGAATGTTTTATTCAGGTACAAAGTAACAAACTGGTTGCTTTTCCTGTTTCACAACCCATGAGTTAAGTAATAGATCTTTTAGTCAAATACAGCAATGTGTTCTTTAAGTGTTCCTGTCAGAGAGCCTGGGACCACACATCCATGGCTCTGGATGAGTGGTTAATTGTAGAGGTCTTTAGGTCATTGTGTGTTGGGCAGCAGTGTCTATACCTGTGTGGTGTCTACAAGCACCATGTCATAGTGGAACAAAGGTGCAATTCAGTGCTGTGCAGTGCTAAAACCACCCTAAAAATTAGGGCTATGACTTTGTCAGCATCATGCTTATTTAAACCCCGTTACCCCCGTTCCAGGTAAGGTTTCGCTTTAAAAAGA